CCATCCACTCCCTGCAGACTCTTCACATTCCTCCACTGCTCTCGTACCTTCACCCACCGCAAGGAACCATGTACAGCAACCAAGAACTGGCAAGCTGCAAAGAGGTTAAGGTAAACCAGAAGACTGTACCTGTGGCAGACTTCAGAGGTCAAATACCTACTTACCGAGATTAAGTGTCAGCATGCCTAGCACCACAAAAGCTAGAGAGCAGCAGTGTCTGCCCAAAAACTACTGCTTCTTGCACCATGCATAGTCTTAAAGTAACAAAGAATGTTAGTATGGGACATCACTTACAGCAGAGGCTTCAGGAAAAAAAAACAACAACAACAAAAAACCACCCATACACAAAACCCCCCATGAGTAGAGAGATGGAAGCTCAATATGGACTCCAGGGTCTTGAAAGATGGATGTCTTGAAGGCACTGCAAAAGTACCATCACTACTGAGCATGTTTAGAGATTTTTCTTCTTGATAACCACAAGTTCTCTGTTGTTATAAATAATAAAAACTTGCCTCTTCCAGAAGTGTTCCAGGAAAAAGTCCGTATTCATATAATATAAAATCCACTGGAGATTTACAGTATTTGAGCAACAAAATACATTGTCTTTAAAAGAAGAGCTCAAGTCACAGAAGTCTGGATACTGCAAAAGTAAAATTCTTTCCATATTGGAGGATGAAGACAACTCCACTTCTTAACATGAGCCACTAAGTTATCTAATGATCAGTTAAATCCCTAGAAACTAAAAGCATCCAGCTCTTTGAGAGTTTATAAACATGGAAGTAGACACATGGTTTGGTAGCAGACATTTTTCCAGGCACAGAACAGTGGAAAAAAGTAGAAAAAAAAGAAGGGTATGTCTTGCTGCTGTAGTACTGGGAGAACAGGCAAGGGCAGAGACTTTGCTAATCCTGTTGCAAGTTTACAGTGATTTCTAGCCATTTAACTATCATTCAATCTTTAAATAAAGTCATAATCTATGCTAAATTAATAATGCAACTTGTAAGTGCTGTATCCAAGACTGGCTCAATCCCAAAATCTACACACCGTAAGTTTCACACACGATGCATCTGCAGGGGTGTTAATGAGCACAGGCCTTGGCTTCTGCAACAGGCTCCTGAGAGTAACCAGTATCAGACACTGCGGACCTAGTGGTGTCCAGAACCGTTCCCCATGACTATTTTAAAATTGCTTCTGAACTGCCTGCTCCTGTGGCACTTGGACTATTGCCCATCTTTGTAAAAGGAGGGGTGAAGTAGCAGGAAGCAGTTGTAGTCCTTTCTTACAGCTTCTCAGCAATTTTAAGGATATCTTGGAGCTGTCTGCTTGACAGTCCTAAGCAAAACTTCTAACTGGGAACATTCAGTCTTTAGGAAACATCTCTGTAGTCAATCTGTTTATGTATGAGCTCTCTCTAGCACTTCTATCACTAGAAGCTATAAACACATCCCACAAAGAACATACTGGAATTCAGTTTTGATAGTAAGTTGGCTATTACTAATTCCTGACATCCACTGTCATGCTGGAAGTACGCAAGAGAGGAAGAAAGAACTAGAAAAATACATTGATCAGGTGATCTTAACCACATTAATAGTTTGTAAATCAGAAGATTTGTCCCTTAACCTGGGCTGGTATAGTGTTGAAAAGAAACAGTACTTTCTGATATGTTGTTGAGAAGTCTCCTGCACCATGGGAGTGACAAGAAAACTAACAACATACAGGGGGAAATCTATTCTTACTTAAGAGGTTAGCAGCTAACATTAGAGACTGAAAGAGCATAACTCAACCATACGAGTATGTTTCCTACGCATTAGTTGTATAGCTGGCATTTAGTACAAGCTCACTGCCACTTTAATTTACTGTTAACGCTATGTGAAATAAAACTCAGATCCAAGAATGCTGAAATACAGCAATTTCAGCTGGCTCAATACTACATTTACAGGAAAGATCCAAAAGAAACACAATGAAGCTCAAACCCAACATGTAATGAAGGGGCAGGAAGCTGCCACATCCATCCTCTTCAACTATGAAAGCACAACTGCTTTTCCCAGAAGTTGTAGTACAGTGCATAGTTATTGAGCAACGTGAAAATAATACCTGCTTACCCCAGTGTGGGTCTGAAAACTAATGTTCTTAGCTGTTCAACCACAAGCTAACTCAGTCTTAAGTGTATACAGTTTTCCATTTCCATATATGAACAGAGGATTCTATTAGCTAAAAGCACAGCAAACAGAGGTAGTTGGACAGTTTACATTTCCTGTTCCATCTAGCATCCAACACACAGTCACCTCTGGCACAGATGGTTAAATTAGGGGCCTTGTTACAATAGCTGAACTCAGTATTGCTTCATCTATCTTACGAACCAGCATGGAGCACTAGAGCAACCAAACTAACCTCCAAAGAGATCCACTTCAGCAGTGGCAGCAGTAATAGTTGTAGTTGTAGCGGCAGCAGCTGAAGTAGTTGTAGTATCAGTAGTTGCAGCAGTAGTTGCACTAGGCTCTGGGGCAAACGGATCTGAAATCTGTGGCTCAGAGGTAACACCGGAAAGTGCAGCCAGATTATCTATATGCAACCATATAATGAAGATCAAACAGGAGAAGTAAGGGGAAGAGGGAGAGAGACCACAATCACTCAACTCCAGAAAGCTGGAGCTTTTAATAAGAAGTCTTAACATTCAAAAGTCTCAGAAAACAAAAATATTACTCACCCTCTCCCAAGAGGTCTAGTGATTGTCCATTAAAATGACAGCAGAATAAAGAAACAGGCCAATTAGTAGAACTGCCAGATTGAAGATGTTCATTAGCCATATATTCAACCTCTAAGTGACATGCCTAGGTTAAATATAATTTCTGCACTTGCTTTTCCAACATTCAGAAACTTCTTACATCACAAAGCTCATTCTGTATAATAGCTCTATTCAACCAGCACATAAGTTACACATATTCGGTAGTTTCCTTAATATCTGATCAGCAAGGTGTTCCAACACTGGTAGTAATTATCACTTCTGTTTTATACAGCTGGTTTTCTTTAACTAAACTGTAACAGAAAAGCAAGTAGTGACCTGTAAGGGTTGACAGGAAGGTCTCCTACCTTTTACTACCCCAGGGTAAACCCAAGAACCACTTCTTCAGAAGCTCAATTCACCACTTACACTAGCTCTCTCCTGCATTTGGCTTAGCAGTGTGAGAATAAGCCCAGAGGTTGGTAGACTTATTTGAAGCTCACAGACAGCTAACAGCCCACAACAACACTGAAAATTAAATGCAACTTCACGGGCCCAATAGCACAGAGATTCAAGACTTTCACCAAGTAAAAGCATACATGGGAAGAGTGAGCCCAAATGAACCCTTGTGCTCACCTAGAAGTACAGCAAACAGGCACAGTTGAAGCTTATTTAAAATCAATAAACTATTAGCAGAACATACTAAGTCACCAGAGAGAATCTCAAGATAATTCTGCTTAGTTACAAGTGTTTTCTAGACCAAAGTAGTCAGAAAGCAGTCAAAATCAACATTACAGTCATTAAAAGTAGACAGAATTCAGCTTATTGTTCTGCCAAAGTGCACTGTTGTGATCCAGCCATCAGCCCTAGAACCCTTCACAAAACTGGCACCACAGTGAGGGTATCCTAGCAGTGAGCAGATTGCAAATACACTAACTTTCTTCAGGATACAGTACATGGCATCCCTACTACCCCAGGTATATTATGAGAGGCAGAAGGTGTCGTTCTTGTGGTTCTTGTACTTAAGTGTTTAGCAAAAAAACACCAAAAAAATAGAACAGCTCCTCTTTGTAAGCTTTTCCTGCATTTGTGATAGAGCAAGCATACTATGCAGAAACAACTACCTCTGTTAACACTTGCTATGAGAAGTATGAATGATCGACAGCATCAGCAGGTTGGCTCTGTTCTGACTTAGATTTCTTAGTCAACTGCTTCTGGAAGCCAATGAAACATCTTTAATGACACGCTTTCCTACAATTTGATGTGCTTTGAGATCAGTCAGATTGAGCTCAAAGACAGAGGAAGCTTTGTCTACATAAAAAAGAACTAAAAGCTTGTGAAAACTAACCAGTTTGGCCTATTACATTTTTGTACTGCAGTTAAGAGTAGTCTGAGCTCAACAAATACCTATTTACTAACCAGTAGCTCAGTGTTGCTCCTAGAGTCATTGTACACGTAACAGGGTCATGAGTTCATCTGATCCACAGTGAACAGCAAGCACAGAGTCCAGATGCTTTACTATGGGTCAGTATGTAGGAAGTAAAATGCTTTGAGCAAGCATAGCTCAATCTTCATAAGTTTGTCTGTATTTTACAACACTTGTTAAAAGGCACCAAGAAGCCACACGTAGGTATTTTCGTAATTGGTTCCTTGGGAGAGCTCTGCTTGAGACTGACTGCACAAGCTGAGGTAAGTCAAAATATGTGTAACAGTATATTAAAAATGCAGCACTCTGGTATCTCATTACTGCACACCAGGTGGATGTTTCACAGCTAGACTTGAAATAAGCAACTGTTGGCAAACTTTTACCTTCCTTTAGCTTATTCTTCAATGCATTTTTGTTATCCAGTTATGTTATAGGTCACAATACAGTGAAATTACAATTATGCAGCATAGCAATCTACACTTACTTCTAATATGGGAAGGATTAAAACCAATGATTTGTTGTATAGTAATAATAAAGTAACAATACTAATAGTAAATCCATGTTCTGAAGCATTCTGCAAAGTAGTTCAGAGAAGAAATTCAAGTCAATTTGCTTTTATATCCAAGAGCCAGACCTCACAAGGATGTGGAATTTGACCTACTGTATTTTTTTGTAATACTACAGCCTAGTTTGCCTGCCAAATGCCTATCTATTCACCCTGTGGTATGCTGCAACTTATTACCTTACCTTAACCACCTCTTGTTAGCACAGAAATGTAGATTTTCACAAATTATAGTTCATTTGCTAGGTAAGTCATACTGTATTCAGAAATACACTAGGCAGACAACAACACAGAGTATATAGTATATACCAGTAAATATACAGTGCACAATACCCAATATACAGTATATACCAGAATACACAGAATCTACACTGTCATTGAGACTGAGAAAGCAGGGTAACTTGGTGGCATGTATTCCTGAGTTTATGCGACATTTAAAGTGCCAGTTTGATGCTGCATCTTGAAGTGTTTGATATTCACATTTTCCTAGCCATTCTGAACTGCAGCAATTTTTCCAGCTTCCTCCCCATACTACTTCTTTCTCATGAATTCCCAAGTTAATTTGCTGTGGGCCAGAAGAGTTTTTCAGATGAGGAAGAAGCTCAAGTAGCAGGGAGGCACTGTTACACATCCTCACAAAAGTCCTGAGTGGAAGGAAGGTCATCTTGTCCAGCCTTCTGCCCAACACCAGATCAGCGCAGTCATGGATCTGTTTAGTCAAGTCTTGGAAAACCTCCAGGAATGGAGAGTCCCCTAGCTCACACTGGGGATCTGCTCCAGTACTACCCTACCCCAAAGAGAAATAATTTTTTCCTCATGTCCAGTCAACCTCTGAAGCTGCAATTTGTTCTTACTACCCTTCACTATAACCAGCTATCATTTCCAAGAAAATTCTGGCTCTTCTCTGTAACTCCCCTTCAATTAGTGGTAGGCCACTACTAAGAGTCCCCTTTAGCCTCCTCTTGGCCTGATGACGGAGGCCCAGCTTCCTCAATCTCTCTCCCTAGGTATGTGCTCTTGACCCCTAGAATCCTGGTAGCCCTTTCCCTTAAACAGGAGAGTCCAAAACTGGATGCAGCATTCCTGATGTGGCCTCACCTGCACTAACTAGAAGGCTCTACAGTACCTATGAGACCATACAAATTTATAATGACTACCCATTTCATCCTGCAGATTTAGCTTAAGTAAATAAAACAACCCTTAACATAGGCTCAAAGGTTTTCTCATTACCAGATGAAACATTAATGGAAATTTCAGTATCTTCACAACAAAGCCATTCCAGTTGTCAATTTCTGCATGTCTGACATGGTGTTTGGCAATTAAAGGAGTTTAAGACAAGCAAGGCGAGATTCCAGTCCAGTTAACAGGCCATCATAGCTGGAGTCCTGCCAGCAGTAAAGCAGACAGACTTGAAGCTTACTAAGTTACCAAAATGCTATTCTGAAAGATAAGGCTGAAGTATACTTGATGAGGTTAGCAATAATCCTGGCCAAAGTGAAAAGTTAGCTGTCCTCTTTCATTGTGGAGTAAGAGGACTAGGTGCATTGCTAATCAACTTTAATTTTTTCAGTAATTCAGAGCAATAAAAACACTCAAGATCCAAACTACAGTTGCTTTGTACAGAAAGAACAAAGCAAAAAAAAAATTCAGATCAGCTTTCAATTGCAATGCAAATCAATATTTTATAACATTAATTGCTATTCATTCTACGTAAAAGAAAAACTACTTCAAAAAGTCAGCCAAGAGGCCTGAGATCTTGAACATCTCAAAAGCTTGTGTTGCATTGTCATTGCCACGTACTGGAAAACAGGACACAATCAAAAATTGCAAGATAATCAGTCCCAGGCATCCTGGAATAGATGGTCCTGTTTTCTGGGTAAGATTACATTTCAGTTAATAAAACTGACACTTCTGCAAAAAGAAAAATCAATTCAACAGGTTAAATAGGAATATGAAAACATGATCTACATGACAGCCATAGCTATCCTCTCATTATGAAGTGGGTGAGATACGTCATCTTTAATGAACGTGATCTACATGACAGCCATAGCTATCTTCTCATAATGAAGTGGGTGAGATACAATGTCATCTTTAATGAACTAAAGCTAAAGCAGAAGCCATCAGTACCCAGCATTAACATGCATAGAGTCAGCATGACTCAGTGTAGCATTTCTGCCGTGAGAGGGCTGATGAGCTCATTAAGCTGCCACACAAGTAAAGATCTCTTAAGATTACAGTACAGTGGGTTTACAACTGTGTAAGTTAAAACACATTTACTGGCCTAATTCCTTGTCTTCACAGGAAAGGAGGGAGGGAACATTGTCTGTGTTTATTGCACTCCTCTACAGATCACCAGCTGCTCGAGCTGCCTGGAACAACAGTTCACCACAGTGCTCAGATTTCAGAGAGCTGGTTAGCTATTCCTATTTGAAAGCAGTTAGCCCTATACTTCTATTTTCATAATATTATTCTAAGCAGACAAGGAATATTTCAATAAAATATGTTAAGGGTTGTCAGGGGTAATCACGCTTGCAGCAGAACTAATTTGCCACCATTGTCTTTAGCTGCATTTTTGGTTTAAAAGCTATTTTTGATCCTCCCCCTACTGATCCATGGGCTTTGCTTTATCTACAGAAGAGTTGATTTCTGTCCTCACCTTGACAATAAGCACATGAGCAGTTCTAGTTCTTTAGTTTTGAAGTGCCTATCCTACCTGTTCACCTTCAGCCATCCCCTGCCTACTCACTTTTAGCCCCATAATCCTGGCTCCCTCCAGCTTTGCAGTCAGGCCCTTATAAGCAGCTTATACTATTATGCATATCCCTGGAAAAAGGAGTAGCCTTGTGCTGCGAAGGGATGCCTGACTGTCAGGTCAGCAGAAGCCTGGGAGCGAGCTGGGAACACCCTGTGCTAGCAGAGAAACAGCCAGGTTTCAGTTCAGCCAGGCAAGAAGACTTGGCTGCAAGAAGAGATGCTGACAGTGGGGTATCTCTACCTCCCCATGAAGTGGCTCCAGCAGGGGCTGCTGGAGCTGCCTGCCCAGTAGCAGCAAAATCTGGCTGAAGATCCAGAAGATCACTGGATGGTTTGGAAGAGCTGCCAAGGAAAGGAAGAGATATTAAATACTGGAGGAATTTGCCCATTTTAATCCATTAAAAAAAACGAACAAAAAACAACAGAAAACCCCACATCATGACTGGATTGCAGGAATTACCCTTAGCTGGATGACTGATGAAAGCACTGAAAGACTTTTATGGCCACTGCTCTAATCCGAAGGCCTGAAAATGCCTTTACTGCAGTGACTGCCAAGAATACATTACACCCCAGGATGGGACCTTTACTTATAATTCCATTATCAAGTAACAGAAGTAACAGATCTATGAGACTTTTACAATCCTAAAAACCAACCAAACAAAAAATCCAGAACTCCAGTATCTCAGGTGGTCCCTAAGAACATAGCAAATAACTGCTGTGACTGAAAACATCTCCACTTCAGTATTTCATTCTGCCGTGTCAGAAAGCAAGAAACCTGCATTTCCAGGCAATAAACAGGCATTAGGTAGAAGAGAGTTGGTAAAACTACTATGGCTTAAGCCAGTCAGATATTTGCTAAAGAAAAAGGTTTCGTTCATTTAGAACATTTAAGCAATAAACAATAGAAGCCCTTTCTTCTGTGAAATACTTCACCTGACATTTAACTCAAGTTAGTCACATCTTCAGACTTTTGGTTCAAGCTTAGAGCTTTTACGTGTCTATAGTTCTGTCATTTCTGCTCATTACAATGAGTAACAGCAGTTTTCTGGTTTTGACTTTAAAGCAAGGTTCAGACTTTCTCAATTTTAACCTCTAACTTCATTAGGTTAGAGGTTAAAATTTTAACCTTTAACTGTTTTAACCTCTAAAAGTTCATTATTTTTGTGCTTCATTAACCAATTTGAACAGCAAGAAAAAGGCATCTTTAGTTCAGCAGTTTCAGAAACAGAATACTGAAGGTCAAAGACTACTTTGGATGTGCACATTACTTCAGCCTATTCAATTAAACATTTATGTTGGGAATGGTGCAGCATCGCTACTACACTGAAAGCAAATCAGAGTAGCCACATTGGTTTTTTGTTAGAGCTCATTTGTGATCTATACTAGTAGAATAATGTAGCTCATTCGATACTGATGTAGACTACCTGTAAAGTAAGCAAAATCTTGCAGGCAAGCCTATTACAAGTGTGACTTTGGCATCTACCTCAGGCTCAGTAACTCAGGAATGCTATTTAGCTTACCTGACTGGAGCAGCTGTAGATGAAGTTGCAAAAAGATCAACTGGAGGAGATGTATCAATAGTTTTTGCTGGAGTAGAACTAGGAGATGTAACAGTTGTGGCTGGAGAAGACTAGAGAAATATTTTCAATATACATTCAGTATACCAGTATTTCTCCACAAACAACTCATGCACAGATTCACATACTCCAAAAATCTAATTTTGACGTCCGGTCACCTTATTGTGAGCTGTTCCCCGCTTTGAAAAAATTTAAGGAAGACTGGGCTACATTTTCAGAGGGTGGTAGAGTTCCGAATCTCCCAGGTGACTCCACCTTGCAATGCCTGGCTGAAGTGCAAATGCCCAGTGTGTGCATTCAGAGCACCTGCAGACACCAGTGGCCCATCTCACGTGAGCCTTAGTCCCAGTTCAAGACTCACCCAACATCTAGGCAACTAACTCCTGGATCAGGAGTTGCCTTACCTGCCTTTTAAAATCCCAGTTAGATTAACTAACCATTCCTATGTGTCAAAGGATTCTCAGTGAATTCCAAGAAAAGTTTTTGCTCCTCAACAAACTCCCCCCCTCTCAGTTTTAAGACCACCTTGAAGATGGGAAAAATCGAAGTATTTTGGGGAGTTTATTTCTACATCTGTCACACCCTTCATTTTGTCCATGGAATGAAATATCTGTGGGGTTTTTTTGTTTGTTTTTTTGTTGTTGTTGTTAAAGATCTCTTTGGAAAGAAAATTAAGAGCTGTCACTAGAATCAAACACTGAACCGTCTACCTCAGATTCAGAAGTTTTCATTGTTTTCCTACACAACACCCACTATTAGACACACAGTTATGGCACCTGGCAATGCTTCAGGGATACCAGGAACTACTAACGCCATAAAGCTCATTGGTTTATCTGACACTCAAACCAAGATGTTTTTACTGGCAACTCTTGCTTAAGATTAAGGTGAACAGTCTCATTAATAAAGGTCAATTCTGAAGTTGGGTATAGCAGAGAAAAGTCTTCTTGGCTTTTTGCATAAATATGGTTTTAAAAGAGGCAGCACTTCCTCATGAAAAGCTGCAAATGGAGATAAGAATTTGGAGGAGCAACAGTACAAAGTAACTTTCTCACTGTCATAAGGTTTAAAAAAAAAAAAAGGGTTAAGAAAAAGCTTCAGGTGTCTTATGTCTTCACAAAGTGTGACCATCAAATCCCACATTGGTATAAGCACTACAACCCTTCAGATGAGCAAAGTGCTTTTATGGGGCCATCACTGACAATGCCATTTACAGATGTAACTTTGTCACTTAGGTAGGGTATGGGTGATGAAGTGTAAAAAGCAGATTAGGAGACGGAAATTTAACTCCTTATGCCATTAAGATGTTCTAAAGCACACCATCTGAACAAGAACTAATGAGTACATCAATTGGCAGTATTTACCTTGCTCAGAGGAGAAGGAGCCCCAGATCTAGAGGTAAAAAAGAAAATGAGGCGGGGTTGCGGTTCAGACAAATACACTTTTGGAAACAGTTTCTAGCCATCAGAACTCATGCAAAAATACCAAAAGCTAAGCATGACAGCTTTCTGAAGATCTCTACAATCACATACCCTCCCCATTTCTCAAGCTTTCATGTGTTACTTCAGACAAGGAATGCAAACTGTTACTTCAAAGCTCAAATGAATCTTTTGAGGTAATTGGTATCACACGATTATTCTGCCTTTTAAATAAGCTCTACTAAACCGAGGAAAGGCAGAGATGCATACACGTGTCTTGCGTTAGGGCATACAGGAGCCAGTGGGAAAGAATTATTGGGGCAAGACATTGCCATATTGTAAAATCATGCAACAGCAGAGTAAGACCAATATGGAAGCAGTTATCTAACATAAGTCTCCTGCGGATGTGTCCGTGAATTTTCAAAGTCTACTGTTCTTTTCCAGAAAGTCAGAGTTACTTTAAAATAGTGATATTTAAAAGTATGGAAACAGTTAGTTAGAAAGTCCAAGCTAAAAGTTATCCCACGTGTAAGAAATCACACTAACAGTAACCGACAGAGCCATAATCGCAAGTAAAACGTAATGTCAGTGCACTTGTTTACTTTCATTATTAAGAGGTATGAACATAGTGCTACATATTTTTAGAGCTGCTTTGATCTAAGAGATGAAAGGAGGAATTGAAGTTAAAACTGCAACAGTACTGAACTAGCATCCATCCTATATGTTACGTGAATGGGAGAAGTCCTAGGAGCTCTAGAACTGAGTAGAAGAGCTGGAGCTAAGACAGAAATTACTAAAAATAATTTAATGACTATATACAAAAGCAAGCAACAGCTTAGGTACAATTTAAAGAAGGTATCTATTTAAAATTGTCCAAGCCATCTTAAAAAAAGAACATAACCATGTCTGCATGCAAGTGATATGGAAACATATTCACTTACCCTTCGCTAAATTGTAACGAAAGCAAAAGTAAAAGAGAAAACACAGGTTTAGCTTAATCCTTCCTAGACAGAGCCATGACAAGTATCTAGCAAGAAGATGCAAAGCTGTTAGAAGGAACTGTTTTTCCCTGCTGCTAAAGCTATTATAATCAAAGTTGATTTTTTTTTGTCTATGAGTTTTCCATAGTTAATTTCACTTCATTTTGGAAAGCTTCTAGCTGTTCAGTGTCTCTTCCCCCCACCTCCCATTAAAAAAAGAAAAAAGTTGCCATTAAGACCACTTCGAAAAGGAAAGGAAAAGCCTAACCTTACCACAGCTTATTTTCCAGCTAAGTGACAAAAGGAGGTTGGGGGAGGCAAGCCTCAACATCAGCCAGTCTCACATTGTTACTACTATGCCTTGACAGATGGGACAACATACACATACTTACTTGTTGCCAGGTTTTTTTCCTTCCAGTGAGTTTAGATGTTGCTCAAGGGTCTCCATGAGACTGCTAGGAGCCTTGAAAGCAAAAAGAAAGATACACTTCTAAACACAATGCATTGACCTAACCATACTTCAAAACCCAGCACCAACTTCCCTGAAGTCCACCACGTGCATGCTCATGCTGTTATTTCATTTACACCGCTGTGGAAATAGTGGGTTTCCATGCCAGAAGTATTCAGGCAAAGACAGCTTTTGAAAGATAATAATGTGCCCAAATTTGCAGAGAAAAAACATTCACCTCTACTAAACAGCACTTGAAACCTAAATCCAGAATGTGCTGCTCATGATGCCTGGAGTCGGTGTTAAACATTGACAACAGCACAGGCATCCACAGGGTTAATTCTAAGAGTAACAGGTCCAAGGTCATCCTTTCAGTTTTGCTTTTAGTCCAGCACCTCGTTCATGACCAGAGGGTTAGATAATACTTGCAATCTAAACACAACAAACTAGGAAGTCCTTTCCAACACCCCCAAAAGCAGTTACCATTGGTTCAAGACTCCCAACATCACAAAACCTTATAGCTGCCTCTTTGCAAATGGGTGGCCAGGCACAGGTTACTGAGCCCAGCAGGTAAGTCAAAAAGGGGGAGTATTACTACTTTAGACATCTGCAAAAACTGAGCTTTTTCAAGCCTCCTTGGTCTTAGGTTTTTATTTTTAGTAACCTTTCTGTGTCCAGATAAGTAGACTCCTACAAGATCAAGCAGCAAGGAGGAAACCCTTGAGAGATACAGCAGCATAGAATAGTCAAGTATTTCATCAGGGTTAGCAGTTCATCAATGGTACTGTCTTTAAACAGGGAATTCTGTTTATCAGTCTCTTTCAGATCAATCACAATTCCTGACAGCAATACCTCTGGTGTTCTTTCTTAAAAGATGTCCTTAATTTGAGGGTACACATATGCATCGAAAAGTCAATTTGTGATGCTTGAAAACAGACTATCCACTGCTCATGTGTACAGTGTGCTGAAAGAGCTGACTGGCTAAATCAGATGTTTCAGAATGCTTGGTACCTGCCAGTACCAATGCACACTAAGTGTACTTTCAGTACAGTGTCTGCATATTAATTTTGGCATTAAAACTGAACAATAAGGTAATTTAACACAGGCAGGAATTCAAAATGCTCAAGAAGTCCTTAAATGATGGCTTGAGTTTAAATATGTCCCATGCACATATGCAGTGCAGAAACATCCCAACCACTGCTGTTATTTTATAAGCATATTTTTTATTTTTCAACTAATTTGAGTTCAAGAGAGAATTTGGTTAAATACAAGTGACTTATTTACAAGAATTCTTCATCAGCAAGAAAGAGATAAGCAAAGGCTCTCATTTGCAAAAAAAAAAAAAAAAGATTCAGACTTCTACATATTCAAAACAGCTATAAAAGTTGTGTCTACTTAAACACGTAAGCAGAAAGCTACATTTCAGGAAAAAAAAATCCATTATTATTTCCTGTTACCAGTTACCTCTACACAACTTAAATTGCTTTCTAATATATTATTCACAGGTTTCTTAAAAGCCAAGAAGGTAATATGAAACTCGTCTATCAAACGGAATTCAGAGGAAGCTTCAGAAAATTTCTACCCAGATTCAACAACTTGGAAATTAAGTAGTGTCTGGTATCCAATTTGCTTAATTTCTTCTAGACACTGCTTCATCATTAGAATAATCTATCAGTCAGCATCATGGTGGAACCTTAGATACGAGTTCCCTACTAGCTATCTGAGACAAAACTGCCACACTTTAAGTATTGTTTAATAAATGAAAATGAGCTAAGCTCTTTAGCTGTCAAGATGCCTCCTCAGTCTCCAAAACCCTGCCACCAAAACAAAGCCCGAAGATGGCAACTATCAACTTGTATTTCAGTACTGTGACCACTTTTTTGGATTTACAAAGTATGTGCAGACATAAAGTGTCAACACAACCAGCTTCTTGTTGAATAGTACTGACTATGGCCATGGCATGCTTTAGGAATTTAGGATTACCATTGTTATTCTAGACAACTATATATTATAAATATTCCCAAGCAGCCTTTGGGAAAATACAGCTAGGAAGGACAACCTGAGAAGACCACTGAGGCGGTCAGGCAGTTGGACTGGATGACCGCTGTAGATCTCTTCCTTCCAAAGGAACTATTCTATTCTAAATCATCGGTTCATGAGGTGAGACTCTTAGGTAGCAGTAACTGAAGGTGCCACTGAGCAAGTGCAGCGCTGACTGATGGTGCAGAACAGGGCTTGCAGTCCCAGCAGGCAGCCTTTCTTTCCAGCAGGCTGATGCAACGAACAGATAAAAGTGCTACAGGAATTTATAAAGCTTATTTTATTAACTGAGCTTAGGTTGAGTTCTTCTGGTCCAAGGACTTAGTTCATGATTGACTGGACCTTGTTAAAAAAGAGCCCCGAGGTACAGAGTTGGGTAAACATATTACTTCAGCTATTTCAGAATTGGGTTTGGTGTTCCACACACTGCTACAAGTCTAAGCTTTCCTATACTGAAAAAAGTGGCCAGACTTCACAGCCCTGTAGCATCTGAAACCCATAAAGATTAAAACTCCACATCATATCTCACTTTCAGAATTTTTAACTGGCTTTTTTAACCAAGAGAACCACTATGCTGATGCTGACTTAAACCAGGCTTTCAAGAGGCTTTAAAATACTACATATTCATAGGTTAGGATTTACAATTGTTAAGCAGTATTGGGCTGCTCTTCTGTTCCAATTTTACTGGCACCAAAACTGCCATGAATCAACTCTTCTGCATGGATCTCCTCCTCCAAGTAGACATTCCTTTCACATTTCACACTGGGACCTGGACAGGCTGGAGAGG